GATTTAGCCGTCGAAAAAGGTACCATTCTCTTCATCTCGTCAAGAAGTATGATTTTTGTTTTTGAATCACTTGATTTTGTTGAGTATTGAAGAAGTTATGAATGCTTAAAGTTTACTCAGTTTCCGGTGAGTTTTCCAGTTTTCCCTCGGACTAGTCAACTTTGAGGCTATTTTTCGGCCATATCCAGAAACCATTGGGCTTCCAAATGGTATAATATTATTCTACACTTTCCTATCTTCATTTTGATATATTATGGGTTGAATTTGGTTAAGAAATGGTTGAGTTACGAACCTTTGAAAATTGCCCAAACTTCCAGCCAAGAGCTCCGAGACACTTAACGGAGTTCTGAATAGAAGGACCAAAATGATGGATGGTGGACAATCTCAGGGACCACTTCTATTGATTTGAAATCTTAGGGACCAAAGTGTTGTGTTATACAAATCTTAGGGACCATTTTGGCTATTTAGCCTAAGCTTTATAAAAACCCTTCAAAAAACCATGTAACACTTAAGACGTCGTATTCATCCTACGTGAAATTACAATTATTAACGACAAGAAGCATTCCTTAATTTCAAGTGACATTCCAATAGAAATTGCATCCAATTACTTATTTAAACATCCTAATGGCCGCGAATCTTTAAGACACAAAGATAGTTTAAACACGGTGATTAATAATTCAAAACACGCATGCATAATATCATAAACAATTAAATAAAGACTACATATTCATGCTAAGACTCAAGACATCGCCCTAGCAAAAGAAATTAGTTACGAACAATCATAAAACAAAATATTATTAAGAACACAAATAGAAAACACCTTGTAGGTAAAAAGTCTAAAATTCTCCAAAATAATGCATTTGTAACCCTAATGGCTAAAAAGCCTTATTTATAAGAAAAACCAATGAAAATGGCTTTAAAACTTTGAATGTTAACAAAAAACCAAGTGATAAGTTTATTTAATAGTTATGACAAAGCCCAACATCAAATCAGGACTAGCCCAAGGAATATAATTTATTAAGCTTCCAATTTTAACGCTGACGTCAAGTCTTGTCGTTTATTTGGTCTGTTTCACTTCAGATGGAGAACGGAAGGTCTATAGATCTCCGATCATTTATAAGAAAAACTAATGAAAATGACTTTAAAACTTTGAATGTTAACAAAAAACCAAGTGATAAGTTTATTTAATAGTTAGAGCAGTTTCAGCGTGGGAACCTTCCCCCAGGCAATACACTATGCTATCCACCCAGTGAACAGTAATTGCCTTTAATGAACAGTGATCGCCTTTTGCATCTCCACTGTTGCACTTCAATAGCCCTGACAATAGGCAATAAAATATTAGTATTTTTTTTATTTATAAAATAATACAAAATAATTTTATTTGTAATTTCGGATAAGATTTTTAATCGTTCTCGTTGCGCCACGTGTCATTATCCGAAAAGTTATAAAATAATACAAAATAATTGTGGTGTAATTTCGGATAAGATTTTTAATTGTTCTTGTTGCATCACTTGTCATAAAATCTGAAAAGACAATCATTGGTGATGGATTTCCGATAAGATTTTTAATCGTACTCGTTGCGCCACGTGTCATGATCCGAAAATACAATTATTGGTGATTGATTTCCGACAAGATTATTAACCAATCATGTCTCGCCACTTGTCATAATTTGTTTACAATCTTGAGGATAGATTTCCATCAGATTTTTAACGAATGATGGCATGCCACGTGGCATTATCTACAACCAAATCCTTTATGAATCCTCCATATAATCCACCATCCATCCTCACAAATCTCACACCAATTTTCTCAAGATCTTTATCATTATTCATAGTTTATGCTTCCTTGTTCACCAAAATCTCTATCATTATTCATAGTTTCTACTTGTTTCTTACAATGTCTTCTTCTTCCTCAAGGATGATGTGGGAACTCGATGAGCAAAAGGAATGATTGTTTAACCAATCAGAAGGAATGTTCAATCTCCAGGTGGCCCAAAATGAGAAGGAAGAGTATGAGGAGCGTAGAAGGAGAGATGACGAAGCAAGAATGGCAAGCGCCTCACATTCTCGTTGAGTCATCCAAGCTGTGGGTCAGATCTGGAGGCCCAGCTGTTTCGGAAACCTTGATAGAAGCAGGCAACAACAAGGTACAAAACTCTTGGACGATTATTTTGTCCGTAATAGTGCATTCCTTGGTGGCTTAATTTGTTCCTTATTTTGTCACATCAGAAAAATAAAGGGGGTAGGATTTCTAGCTATTTGCTTCGCTTGGACTTTATGGCTATGTTTGCTACACCGCATTAGTTTGCCGAATTGAGCTCTTATAAGTTAGTCTAAGTTGTATCAAACAGGGTGCTATTTAGCAATCTCACTAAGTGGGACTCATGCCTCACCTAGTCTCCTTATTTTGACCTTGTTAAAATGAGGGCTTGAACTAAAACCAACCCAAGCGAACACGCCCTATAGGTTTTTTAAATAAAATAGAGCTTACTGTTTATAAAATAGTGTTGGATTACCCATTCTTTTTTGTTTCACTTGATGCACTTTTTTTTTGTTGGCTGTGAAAATGGATAGGTAGTTCCTCTTGTTTTGAAATTAAGGATGTTGGTAACCTACTTATTACTTTGGTTGCTAATTGATTAGTTTCAAATGCAAGAAATGATTAGTTTCTAATGTTATAATTTTATGGTTCAAAATGTGTATAGATGTCACAGTTGATCACTCGTCGTCGGAGTGTGACCAATGAGCTTCCCGCATTATCAGCATCTACTGCTTTAGGTCAAACACCGCAAAGGTCGATGCGTTAAAGGAGGAAGTGATAACCCTAAAGGGTCAGCTTGCGGTCCAAGGCCAGCAAATAAGGGCACAGGGCGAGGAGCTGAAGGCCTGTGTTGGGCACTTGAGAGACCTTGTACGAGCCATATAGATGATTGGCATCCAAATCTCGCTACCAGTACCTGATCTTGCTCCACCTTCGACCTCCGAGCCACTTCACCTAGAAGACTACTTGTAATTTTTTCTTTTTTGTTCGGACATCTTGTATGTACATTTTCATATATTTTATAATTAAATACTTTTCTTTGGTTAATTAATTATTGTTTAGAATTTAATTACAATATTATTAAAAATTAAAAAAAAATATTTTTGACCAAAACCAAAAAGTGATCTAATCCATTTTGCACGACGTAGGTTGCGTTGTGCAAACTTTGTGCGACTCAGCCTACGTCACGCAAAAGGTCTTTGCGCGACATAGGTATCTTCTTCGTTGTGCAAACCCTTTTGTCAATGCCTTGGCGCGACGGTTAGCACACGACCAAGGTCCGTTGTGCAAAATTTTGCGCGACGCTTTTTGACTTTGCGTGACGAAGGACCTATATCGCGCAAAGTGTTTTTTGTATTAGTGCGAAACAAGTTCAAAGAAGTTTAATGGCAGAAACCGGCGAAAAAAGTGTCTGGGAAAAAAAAAAAAAAAAAAACCAAAACATAAAACTGTTTCTGGAGAACCCAAAACATAACATTGTTTCTGGAAGAAAAAAAAAATCAGATACAATGTTTGTTTTGTCTGTGCATAAACAAACACTATATTTGGAAAGAAAAGAACCAAAATTCAGAAACAGTGACTTAAATTTCAGAAACAGTGACTTAAATTTTAGAAACAATGACTTATATTCCAGAAACAGTCTATATTTTAACCTTTGACTGTTTCTTTTCTTTCATGCATCAGTTAATTATATTTAAGAAACATGATGCTTATTTTGCTTTGAATCCAAATACGGTGAATTTCATTATTTCTTTTCTAGCTTACATTTAAGAAACAATGTGTATTTCACTTGGATCCAGAAACAATGACCTAGATTCCATAAACAGTAACTTAGATTCCAGAAACAGTTTATTTTTACAGTCCAGAATCAATGACCCGTCGTTATTATTGAATAGCATGTAAATCTCAAATTTATTTTCTGAAGAAACAAACAATGAACTCCACTAACAAAGAAAATATGAAAAACAGTACCTCGAATACACTATGAATAATAGCAACGATCACATTTCAACGAAATAATAGAAAATATAAATTAGATAGCATGAGGATCCATATTTTTGTTTCAAAGAAAAAGAAAAAGGTCTGCAAAACAACGATGAACTCCATTAATGAAGAAAATATGGAACTCAACCTAAAAAAGTTAGGGGTAAAATCAACAAATCATAATTTATTATAGGTAGGCCATTTTAAGTTGGACTACTATAATATAGGCCTTGTACTACTCATTAAACAAAACTTATAACATGATTTTTGATTAAAACTAAAATTTTTCAAGCCCTTTTGATTTAATTTTTTTTTTTTAACTGTTTAGTTTTTAGTTTTGTCTAATTTTTGTGGTCTGCTTTATAGGGTTTCGTTACCTTTCATTGCAGTGGACGGATACCTAAAGTAGCTTTGATGGCACGATCTTACCTACCAAGCAAGGTTTCAGAGATAGTTTCAATTTGGAGAAATGACCTGAACAAGGTTAGACTTTTGCAGTGTTTTTCTTGATTCATGAACACGATGCTTTTCTTTCAAGTGAAATGTATATATGAGATGTAGAAGTCATACCAAAGGAAAATTGTTATGTCTTCTACTTTATCGACCAATTGAATTGAAACAACGAAAGATTTTTGCATATATTTGGCTATTCCAAGTATTTTTAATTTTGTACTTTTAATTTGCAATATGGCAGGTCAATAAAAAAGCTGCAGAATCATTGGCCGATCCGCAAGTGTGTCCTAATTTGTTTGAGGACTGGTAGGTTTCTCTTGCCCTTGAGTCTAAAGATGCAAAAAATAGGTGTCCACCCTTCATTTCACTGTTCAGCATCAGGGCCATGAAAAAATCTACTTTTTAGCGCTGCAGTAGATATGACCATAATTACTGACTGGCAAGAAATTTTGCTTATTTGTTGGATGATTGTGGATTGCTTTGTTGTCTTTTGCAGGGGCATTCATCCTCCTGTTGACGTGAGATGTGAACGAACATTCGTCTTTCTATTTTTTTGGGCTTTTTCTAACCCATAAATTTCTTTTGAGTCAACCAAATAGTCCCAGCTTGCAACTTATGCTGTGTGGTATTATTGTCTGAAAAATTAAGTATGCATGTATATTTTATGTGTGTGCCCGTGCACACCTCTGCATGATGTTAATCTCTGTGGGTCATCTATATATATATGTAGACATATCTGTGTGTGTGTGTGGAATGCAACATATTGGATTTAGGTTATACTGTGCATAGTTTTATTGTCTGTTTTTATCTGCGCTATACCATTTCTATGCAGGCTCTGAAAGTTATTCATGAGATTTATAAGCATTTTCCATAATTTAAGCTGTCTGTTTTGGGTTCTTTTTCATTAGGTCATTAGCTACTGAATGATGGAGAAATGAGTACCATGCCACTGATTTTGGGTTCTTTTAATAATTTTCTGATTTTGGCGTTTTGCAGGTAGTGTTGATGTACTGATTTTCTGGGATTTTTTTGTCCTTGCAGGATTTTTGGTCTTTGAAATGGGTACATGTTGTTTTTAACGTTTTGGTTCTCGTGTGTTCCGCTCTTCGTTGCTTCGTGATTCTGATTTTTCAGTGTTGGGTAATGGAAATTTGTAAAAATAGTCGTAGTTTTTTGAGAAAGTTGGCATTTTTAGTTATATTTTCTGTTTAATCCCAACTGTGAGATTGGAAAATAATTGAAATGATGGTTTTGTATAAAAACACCTCTCAATTTTTTTTCTGGGATTTAAAAGCATCTTTTCCCGATTGTTTACAAGGGTTATGTTCTCTATAATTGGTTCACCTAATTTTGATTAGTTTTAAGTTTTGTCCTTTAAGTTTTGTCTTCTGTGCTGTACTGAGAGATTTCTGTTGGCCTTTCGGATTTCGGCATGGTAATGTTCACTTATTTGTCTAATTAGATTGCATATGGCTTCGATTCTTTATTTAATTGTTCTGTTTGTGTTCGGGAGTGATGATCTAAATTTTATATGTTTGGAATTATTCACTTAACACCAATTTGTTACATTCAGGTCTCCACCCCACATTTCACAAGTTCAAATTCCATAGAAGTCGGTTCTGCAGATTGTGTCTGCAATTAGATCAGAGATCAACTGCTCTTTTGTTATCATGCGGAAGATTGCTTTTGGGAAGGATCTGAAGCAGTTCCTCTCTGTATGTTTACTCTCTCCATGTTTATTGCCATATAGCTCTGTCTTTTCTAATTGATGGTGTTCATGTTACACTGCGATTCATGATGATGATTTAATTGTTCTCGACTTGTAATTGTTTGTAAATAATGTGGCATATTTGAATAGCAATCCGTGTTCATATGAAAGGGATGGCATATCATGTTGCTGACTTAATTGTTTATGTTTTTCATATTTGCAATGGTGTTATGATCGATTAGGTGATTGCTGACCTGTGACTTTGTTTGGAGCTCAAATTTTGTGAGTATTACATTGGATTGTATTGCACTTGGTTTGATGTTGTTTTGGTCGACAATGTAGGGATAGGAGAAACAAAGAGGATAACACTTATAATTGCCCCTCCCCATCGGCCTTCTTTAAATTTGGATCACAAGAAGGGAGCAACATAGGTATTGATCATGGTGTTTCCTTGTTAATTTGGAAATGGTTAATGTAAATAATTGGACAAAAGAGCCAAACAAACCCTTTTCTCTCAAATCGAGATGATGATGTGGTCGACGGCCACCAGCCCCAACTCAAGAGTTTGGCCTTCTGTATAATCGGATTATAGGATAATTTTATTTTAGTCCATTTCTTTTTTTCCTTTATATAAGTGCAGATGTTGTGATGTTTTGAATGTGTGTATAAAAAGAAAAACTTACCAGGTACTTCAATTTTCTATTTTATTAATTATTGTCTGGTTTGAAATGTTGTATTGAGAGAGAGAGAGAGACCAACTGTCCTTGAGAAACAAGTTTACATTGTGAGAATTTGCAGGTTGCAACTTTGATTGGTTATTATATTTGATTGAGTTAAACTTGGATTTCTGGATTTTGACTTTTTCGTTTGTTTCTCTGTTGCAGAGTTGGCTTCATTTCATTCCAGTAACTCTCTAAATAGATCCAAGAACTCACTAAATAGGTAGTCAAGAAGAATTCAGTGTTGCCTTCCTTTTTTGCCTGCTGTTTACTCTCTTCCTGGTTGCACTCTCACCGCTTATGTTGCTCACCACTTCATCTCTTCTGTTGCTTACAATCATCACAAGAAAACTCGAACCCTCAAACCAACATATTCATTTCTACAGTTTCTCTCACAATTAATCTAACCTTGAAACCAACAAATTGCAGAAATCCTCAACTGTTGGATTCTGTTGAGATGGGCAGAATTTGAGTGGTGTCTTCAAAGTCGACCGACACCTGGACTGCAACATCATCTTCACTCACCCCAGCGTCAGCAGATTCCACCTCCAAATCCTCTCCGATCCTTATTCCCCAAAGCTCTCCGTCTGATTTGTCATCAGGTAAGAATTTGGGGTTTTTGTTTGGCATTTGATTCAAGTTTTCTTTGCATTAAATAAGAAAACAACCTCAAGCCCTCAAATCAATAAATCAAATTCTACAAGTTCTCTCACTTGTAAGTCTTAATCTAACCCTAAAACCAACATAACAATTTCGAAATCTCCTCAGAGTTTTCCAACAATTCCGGTCAGGTTGGCGTTGATGTTGGTCTTAAACTATTCCTCAGCATGTCAGGTGCCTTCTATTTCATGTAAGATCTGCTTCAAATTTTTTATTTAATATAATTGGGTTTTAGTTATTTTTTCGTAGGTTTTCTAGTGTTTGTGTAAATTCTCATCTGATCGATGATTTTTTTGTTATCATGGGCTGAAAAGTGTGTAATAGGGTTATGAGGTAGAAGACTGTTTGGGGATGGTGGTGGGTTCTCTGAGTATGACTGGGATGTTGACAAATTGGAGCTCTTCTGGGGCCATATCCATTTGGATTTGCAGGGTCTGATTGGAGGAAAAGAAACGAAAAAAATTTTGGGTTTTGGATTGATGTGATGTTTGATTTTATTTAATTTTTGTTCCTGCATGTTTGGGTTTTTTTTTTTTTTTTTTAAATTTTTGCATGTCTTAATTTTTGAATTAACACTATTTGTTTTGTTAATTGCAGGTTTATAGTGTTTGCTTGATAAAGACGGAGAATAGTACTGTCCAAATGAATAGGAAGACCTCGAAAACTCGTTGATGTGTTGCTTTCCTTAATGCATAAAGACGGAAAAAAGGGGCAAGTTGCGAAAAGGCCAAAGAAAAAAAAAAAAAAAAAAAAAAAAAAAGAAACAGAGATTGGTACTTTTCATGCATTCGAGTCACCAAGTTTTATAATGTATATACATGTATTTTCCATTTGGTGAATTCCAAAAAATAAGAGCGTTTCTGTACACTATTACTCTTTATAGGTAGGCATAAATGAAAGCGTCTCTGTATACTATTACTCTTTTGTATGCAGGGCAAGTGGAGATGGCAATTGTTGTGGTTCATACAATCCCTCCTTTTTATTTAGAGCAAGTGGAGATGGCTGTTTGAATAAAAAGAAGAATTTGGCCAGGTAATTCAGCTTTCCAATAACTGGCATTTGGTTATTTAAATGTTTATGCAGAGAGAGATGAGTTATGTACTTTGATTTCCTTACATTCTCACTAAATGTTACCCAATTTAAAATTGTCTCTCACATGAAAGTTTGATTTTGACAAGATGTGTGTTTTTGAAATTGTAGTGTCATGTTGGCATTATTGCTTATTTATGAATGCAAGTCTATTTCACATCTATCTAATATCTTTAACTTTGATCTTCACATTATTCAGTGTTCACTAATGCCTTTAATTGTTCTCTGTTTTACATCTAACTGATGACACCACTTCTACTACACAAGCTCAAGAGAAAAATATATCAGCTTTTGACTCAAATTCCAACTATGCCTTATCACTCTGAATATCAAAGCAACCCCAAGCAATTCTGGAATAATTTTTACGAGTAAAACAATACATTATGTATAACTTAACCTCAAATTATTCATTTCACAAACATTCGCATCAAATCCTTAGTTTTTTATTGCTCGAAGTTCCATACCACTCAATGTTTACCAACACTTTTCATTTTCCACTATTTAACATCTATATACTAATCATTTTCCCAATCGCTGGGTGTACGTAAATAGCAAAAGAAATATCAAACGCAATATCGTAAAAAGAAGTTGTCTTCTGTGTTACTAAGGTGTTTTGGTTCAATTGAGTTACGAGGGACCGATCTTGATTCTTCACTATATGCCTGAAATTTTCAAAAAAAACAACTTGGGAGCTCAAGTTTGAATTTTTTTGCTATTTAGTAGTCAATTTGTAGCACAGTGGAAATATGTGGAATGATGTTTTTGCCTTTCAATTTTAATTGGCAATCTGCTGCCAATTTAAACCTTTTCAGAGTGTTCGCCACCGGAGGTTATGCAGCTGTGCAGAGTCACACAGTGGAACTTGGATTACCCAAAGCACAGCAAGCAGGTTGATTGGTATATTTTCTCACTTTTACCATTTTTAGAATTTAGATTAGTGATAAATTAATTCGAATCATGTGGCGTGATATTTCCACTCTGTTACAGACCATGGTTATGATAAATTAATTCGAATCATGCAGAATGATATTTCCATAATTAGCCACCTTTGTTGTGGTTTTGTTGATCATACTCAAGGGAGACTTTTCTACTTTTTATTTTCTTCTCATAGGGTTTATATTCTGCGAAGTGATATTTTAACTATTTATATGTATCTATTTGTCATCTATTTTTTTTATGTAAATTCACTATAAGAGATTAATGAAATTAACTGATAAGAATATGAAATTGAGAAGTCGCTTCTCTAAAACCAATTTTTTTTTTTTTTAATTTACCATCAGCTATCTCTCTCTCTGCAATAAACCGTTACACGAGTTTGTTGGCAATGTGTGCTACTTCCCATTTAATCTGCATTGACATAACAAAATTTTGGTTCTTTTGAATTAATGATTGTTTCAGGGGAATCAATTCTTGTGTACAACTTAAACTTCCAATGGTGTTGTGTGCATTTTTATCAACAATAAAAAGATTTTTCTCTGTATTGCAAACAAGTCTTCTTATAATTAAAATATTTGAAATCCCTGGTCTGTAATCCTCTTGATTCATGGTTTTAACGCCTCCTGATGAAATAACTACAACGTCGTCACTTCTTTCATCAGAAAAGACTTAAACATTCTACCCATTGTTGAGTTTCTTTAACGAGTTTCACCCATTTGTCATAAAATGAGGTGACTTCATACCTTCTCAAAGTGCTGTCGGAATATGATATGATACTTGATTCTTTTTCTTTTTTTCCCACGAGTCTCAATTTGTATTTGAAACAATATGTAATAAACTTACCAGCTCTTCATCGCTATCATACTTTTACAGGTTTTGTTTTAAGGTTCTGATTGGTAAAGCAAAAGCTCCTACCAATTTAACGGAGTGGACTAAGAATTCGGGCCTTTTATTAATGACATATCATAGACCACTTTAAAGGTAAATCCAGATGTATCGCTATGCAATTTAGTTTTTACTTTTAGCATGTTCCGAGTGACCTTTGAATTTACATGCTTAGTTGTTTTCGTTGTACTATTCTGGTAGGTATGCGCGTATAACTATTATGTTTATCCCCATTCTCTGATGGTGTTTGCTGCATTGTTGCTACACAATCTCAGATGATTCCAATGCTGGACATCAAAGAAATTTCGACCATTTTTTTCCTTTATTTATTTATTTATCTGCATATTATTTTGGTTTGTTGAAATTTCGACTATAGTTTGCTTTGCGCTGGACGTAAAAGGTTTTTTTTCAATGATTATATATAGCTTCAGTAGTGGGTTTCTTTGGTTCATGTCGTACATGGTGGTTAACCATGTTTTTCACGGTGGATCACCTTCTTTGATTGGTGGAGCATGAGTTATAGCAGGGGGAGAGAAAGGGTTAATTGGTATTCTTCCTGTTCAAGATGCTGCCGAGGCAGCAACAGTGGACTCTGTGTTGTCTCTAGGTGATTTTTGCTTATTTCTCCATTTGTTACGGATGAGTGGATGCCTATGATTACGTGAAAGTGAAATCTAAGAGGTTTTTTTATTGTTATTGTTGGGATTTTGCCTAATTTTAGGAATGGGAAGTGATTCTGGTGAACGAAGCTCTAGAGTTCAAGTTTGTACTCATCTCTCATTCTTCTTCTCTCTCCTTCTCTACTGGAAAATCCAGTCTTTCATCTTCCTCGGCTCTTCCTTTCTCTCCGCTCCCCGTATCTCTCTCCTTGGAGCCTACAAACCAAGTCGTGACGGTCGACAAGCTTCAAACATGCTGGACGCGTACTGGAGAAGGGACAGTTCTGTCCGTTGCGGAGACGGGGGAGTATGGGGGTAGGGAAGAGGATTTTCGGCAGGGAGATATGGGTTTAGGGAGAAAGAGTAAGGGAGAAGTATGGGGTAGGCTGATTTCCAGGGATTTCCTTTCACCCCTTCACTCACCACGAACCCATCTTTCTCTTCGTTTCTCCCACCCTCAAATCTTCCGTTTTCCCTCTCTCAAAATACCCACCAAGGAAACCCTGCTTTTGGTTTATTTTGGGATTTTGTTTGTGCTCTCGATTTTCAGACGAGGGGCCCATTGGTTGAGATTTGGATTTCTCCCCTTTTTGTCGAAGCGCACAAATTGTGTTTCAGTGGGATCGGTCTCGAATAGCTGCGTGCGTCTACTCTTTTCAAGGTATGGTGTTCGCCGATGGCATGTTTTAGTGTGTTTCTGTTTTTTTTTTTTTTTTCTTTGTTTTATATTTCTAATTTATCTTTTGCTGCTTGACAATGGTGATTGTAAGTTTTAGTTTGGATGTTTTTCTGATTTTGGGTTGGTCAGTGCTTTTGGGTTGCTTGAGAAAATGTGATCCCATGTTTTTGATTGAGTGAAATAATTAAGAGATAGAAAAGAGTGGAGAATTAGTGTCAAGAGTAGTCATGAAAAAAATGAGGAAAAAAAGGGGTTAAGTGAGCAGCCAAAAGAGAAAAAATGAGGAAAAAAAAGGCTTAATATGGGGAGTAGGCAGAAGAGAAAAGCAAGAGGGGGGAGACAGAACAGGAACAAGGTGTGGTTTTGTTGTTAGTTTTATCCAAATTTTTGATTTGGAATTTGATTTGAAGCTTATTTGTTATTAGTTTAGTCTAATTAGTATTGGTTTATCTAGGTTTGTAGCTAATTTAATGTTAATGTTGATCTAGACGTTTTAATTTGTTGTGAACTTATATGGGTTTCGTTTTTTTAATTGTTATTTTACAGTTGCTAGGGATGACTTTGGCTTTTATATTGGTTTGGGTAATTTTTTTTTTTAGTTTCATTTGAAGATTTAGTGTCATTATACACCTTTGCACCACTGTTTGTTCTGCTTTTCTCGGTTTGTGTATATAGTTTTGGTGGAATTGGACTGTTCGTTTTTAACTTAATTAAACTGTTTGAGACTTAATTGAATGAAAGTTTGGTTTGGCCACGATGAGGTGTTTGGTGTTGGGTGTATGATCCTTTGGTCCAATGGAGATGTGTAATTCCCATTAAGCTTTCATCTTGCTGTAAATTTAGGTGTTTTCTCTCTGTGTTCGTCCATCTGCTTATACTTTTCAAATGTTGGTTCATCTTAAGCAAATATTGATATGCTTAACTACCCTGCTTCTTTCTCGTGGTCCTTAAACATGTGCTAGTTTGTATGTTTCTGATGGATTATACTATTGGGAACTTAGTTTTTTATTTATTTTTTCATGTTTGTTGGGTTTGTTGTTTTCGGAAAATTATTGAAACTCTGTAATTTGTATATAGAGTGCTAAATGAGTATATGATTAATGGGTTGAATTTTGTTTTCAAAAGGATTGTTACATGTTTTTTTGTCAATTTGGCTATGATAGTAAGATTACTTCATCGAACAGTGTAATTGTTGTGGCATGTGAATGTCAAATTTGTTCTTAATTTAATTTTGGAAAGAAATGTGCTTAACTGTAGTGCTATATGATGAAGCTAGCATCCTTAGAGGTTGGGAGCTCAATTAGTGCACCGTTAGTTGTGCAAATGTCTGAATATTGGTGCTTTTCCAGGAAACAATGCTTTTTGCTTTCTAGAACCGTTTGGAGAGTGCACGACTTGAGGATCTCAGGCCCAAGGTAAAAGGTTAAAATCTCTGGCTTCCTTTACTGATGTAAGCTTGCATGAAAGAGAGAAACAATAACAAAAAAAATTTCTGAACCCCCATTTGGTTTTGTTTAATTGTCTATTTAGGGTGTTTTTTGGTTTTGCTTGGGGGGTTCAGATTTCATTTGGGTTTATATGTGATTTCCAGTCGATTATTTTGTTTTATTAGTTGCAGATCATTTTTACTATGGAAGTTTGAATCTTTGTGATTGTTTCAGTGTAGTTCTTGGGTACACACACATTTATCCAATAAATAAGTTCAAGACATTGTTTTCAGGGGAAAGACAGAAGTCTCAGGCAGCGGTCTCTCTGTAATCATCGCCGGGAAAATATCATGGTCATTTTGAGTTCAAATTTAGACAACATGTGGTAACCGTTTCTTTTCCGATTACTTTCATTTGTTTATTTGTGAATCAATAACTTTTTTAGGAATAATGAATGTCACAATTGCTGATAAATGATACTTTGTTCGGAGATTGAACTGTAGGTCTGTGCAATATATCCATATATGGATCAATGCTATGGACTATTCTCAACCTATGGACCTCAAATTTCAGTGCGTCTTCCATCATTTCTCCTACCTCACTGTATGTAGCTATTACATTTGCAATCATATTAATTCATTGAAAAAAATATTTATATTTCTCTATAAAATATACTATCATTTCCTTGTTGGTACATTAAAATGGAAATATGAAAGGTAGAACCGATCATCGCTGGGCTCTCTCTTTCCACTGTGTTGTTTGCTTTACCTATCATTTTTACTTTTCTGTTTCGCAGCTCTCTGACAAATATCTTATTATGCCGCTCTCGATCTCGCCCGAGGGTGGTGCAAGTCGATTCGATGCTACGAGGCACTTTGTTTAGGGCTATTTGAGAGAGAGAGGTGTTGGGTGTTTGAGGCAAGGGGTTTCAGGGATTAGGTTTGGGTGGGGTTTCAAGGATTAGATTTTGGTGGTATTTGAATAATTAGGTTTGGGTTTTTGTTTATGCAATTGGCAGAGATGGGGGGTCCAAGATAGGATTAGGAGATTTGATTTAGGGTTTGCAATGTTGGATTTATTCCGATCTAAATCACCCTTAAATAGTCTACAACATATAATAGGAATGTAATATTGGAGATTAATGTAGATATTGTGATTTGATTTCCTAAATATATCAATCTTATATTAGGTGTCTTGTAATACAAGTAAGATTGATGGAGTCCTTGATTTTATGTGATTATGACAACTAACTGATACGCTAAAAAAGTGGGATTTGGGATTCTTTTATGGATGGAACCTTAATGCCTAAGCCAATATAAATACTAAGGTCCCTGCAAACCCTAGATACACAACAAACGCTTCCCATAAAGTAGTTGTTTCTGGCTAGGTGCTTTGTAGAAGACTTTGGTGTTGCCGCATCCTACATCATCTCTGCTTGGTATTCAATGGCTATTGCTTCACGATCAGGTCAATCAACTCCTTGTTTGTGTTTTAATTATATAACCACATAAAGTTTACATGTGGTATCAGAGCCTCTGGTTATATAAATAAAACCGATTAGGTTTAATATTGGATTACATAATATTCTCATGAACTGCGTGTGTTTAATCCAATTTGTGATTGCATATGCTTGGCAACACCACCACGCCGGACCTCCTTGAAAACGGGATCAGTTTGTTCCGCATATAATTGCATATACTTGGCATATTAATATGATATGTACAGCACATATTTTTCACCAGTTCCTATTTGGTCTTAGAGACCGAAATTATTAGTTAAATAAAACGATTACATAATTGGATAATCTGTTTCTGCGAGTAGTGTCTCTTGAGTTCAAGTTTTGCTTCCACCGCCACCATCCTTCAAACCCAAACGTGGGCCTTTATTTTAATTGAAGCGATTAATGATGATATTGAATTAACTATAATAAAGAAAGATTGAAATAGTTAGTTCATTATTTTATTGAATTAGTTTTAATTGGAAGACCTGGTACTTTAGGCTTCCTATTTCAATGTTCATGTTAATGTTTTGGTTCAATTGAAATAATCATGTGTTCTAACTTTGCACTGGAGAATTTTTGAGATGATCAGTGAGCCCAATGAGGAGGTTCATACATACATCGGCATATGAGATCCTGTATGTTTTTTCCTTTTGATCTTATGATTAGAAAGGATTAGTTAAATATAAAAGAAAGCAGAATAAGATGGAGGTCGGTTAAAGAGTGGATAAAGCCAACGAACTGTGTCGAGGCATAAAGACACTGTCGTCCAATGGAAGACAGGTCATGGACGTCACCTCCCAAGGCATGTGCAGCCTTGCGGAGAATCACATCTCCTTGGAATCACATATTCTGCTATCAGATATATCACTCTTAAATTGGTACACTAATAATTGTTGAATGGTAGGTTTTCAAGAACTTCAAGCTTGCTTTCTTGCATTAAGTTCTTATAAAGAAGGATTGGAACAGTTTGTTCGTCTTTACTAAATTAATCATGACTGAAAGAATATGGCATGCTTTAAGTTTTCTATTTTGACTTTCACGCTAATGGTTTTGGTTGAATAAATTTAACGATCAGATACAACCACTTTCGGCTAATGTCGTTGTCAATTTTGTAAGCATATGAAAATATATACTTTTGTTCTGACCTTGCCAAGGAATACTGATGAAGTGTCTCAACTCAGCAAAAGCTCGGTAAAGTCCTCTATCAAAGCAAACGGTGTTGATCATTATATATGTCAAGTACGAATTAGTCGATCATACATATGGTTAGTTTTGATTATTAAGTTTTTGAACTTTATAATTATAACAAAGAGAAAATATATGCTTTAAACATGATAAATTCTTATATGCATATGAAAGGCATACCGAGAAGCATATATGTAAATATGCACAACTTATTTTACTTGTTTTGAGACTATATTCTGTCAAAATAGTCTGGGTGTTTCGGAACCAGTACATGAGTAAGTCTATTGCTCTGTTTTTTCATGGGTAACATAAATTCATGGAAATATTTTCAATCAGTTGTGTTACATGATAATGTGTAGGAAATATACATTGACCGAATGTAATAGCCATGTCATTGGTTGTTGTTGGAAATAATCAATATGGATTAAAATTTTAAGTTTTGCAAACATGTAGTCATATGGCATATTTCCTTTTAAGGGGATTGGATTGTCCTATATTGCTTGAGATGATCCTATGCAAAGACACAAATATATGATAAATCTGGCAGATTAGCACTAATAATGCGGTAAAATTATTGTTATGTCCAGAATATATACACTATGTACTCGTACTTGAGTATGACTGGGGATTAATTCAAGTAATGTTTAAAGTCATATTAACTCCATAAGGAATCTGCATGACTAACCAAAATTAGTTTTGTCTACAATTTTGCTTTCTTATCTCAGTATAGTCATTTAATTTTACATGACTAGTTAAATTGATGCATAATTTGTGGATTGACTGAGAGTGACAGAAAGCATCCGGTGGCAAGAACAAGAACATTATACAAATGAATGAGGTTTGTAGTAATTATGTGACAATTCTCATTTGTATTTTATCTATTTATATGAGAATTGTGGTTGGTCATGTGATTATATATATGTTTATAAAGAAGTGGTGAACATATGAAGGCATGAGGTATGTATTTCATTCAAAGTATGTGACTTAGTTGATAAGCATAAGTTTTCAAACTTGTATATAGTTTGTTAGTTTTTCCTATGCCTAAAGAATTTAAACAATGCTTTGATCAGTCAATTTTTATGTGCCATAAGGGGAGAAGAAAAGAAATTATTCAAGGCTAATGTATGGCATGTATTGGAGATATTTCTTTTGGAAGAAAAGAATTTTGGTTGTTCCTCTACTTAATTTGGTATTTACAAGGCTAATGCATGATTTTGATGTTAATGTTTTAGGAGTCTTGTACTACGGAAAGAAAGGTACAAAAGAAGGAATCCGTTTGACTTAAGAGAGCATTTAGGTGATATCACAATTTGGCTTTTGAATTAAAGCCACTGTATTGTTTAAAGTGTTTCTATTTTGAATCCATTAGCTCCATCATGTTTTCTCATGTGTGTTGATATCCTTGTGGTGGAAGATTGATATTACAGTTCTTATACAACTTGATCTATATGTGATTAATCTCCTTCCAAGTATGTTGTTAGGTTTTTTTTTTGAGATTAATTATTGGATATCAAAGGGAGTCATGAAGGAGATTATTAAATTAAGGCCATTTGTTGGCAAAAACTCGAAGCTTGAATCAGGTTATCATAATTTTGTCACTTACAGCTATTTAATTCATGTGACGTTTGTATTGTTTCAGGCTGGAGATGATCAATGTCTTGTCAACTAAGCAAGCTATAGCGGCTTAGTTGATGCTGGGACTGTGGTTTTAAGTTACTTCGATCAACATTGCATTTTAATTAGAATAAAAGGGATAATCTTCTTGCCCGTAGGTGTGGATCGTTTCTTTTGTTTTAATTAAGATGGCATAGTATGGGTTTTATTTCATAGGAGTTTGTGAAAGCTTCATCTTGCCCGTAGGTGTTGAAGTTTTTTATGAAGATAACTCTTGTGACATATAATCCAGTACTAGAAACTAATTAATTTGCTTGCCCGTAGGTGTAAATTAATCTAGTTTCATGAAGTTTATTGGGGATAAAATTCCATGCCATCAATTACAAAATCCCACTATGAGCCCCCATAATAGGTTGTGGTTTTAAGGATGGAAATCGGTTGCATCATGACGTATATTGTGTCTCTTCATGAGACTTGTTGATGCAAAGTATTGGACCCATGAAGGTTAATCAAGGATTGCTAAGGTACGCATTGTTTAAGTCTTATGCTTGTATATCTTTTCAATTTGAACTATGATGTCGGTTTAGAGGATGAAATTTGACTACTAGAGTTTCCTTTGGACATCAAAATTGAAATGATATGAAATTGAGTTTGTTATGGATGTATAAATGCATGATAGATGCACATAATTGTTTCTGGCAGATTGCGTGTCTTGATTTAAATCGGGTGAATGACACGTCTAATGGTCGCCAAATGTTCTGAAGTTTTGATATGTTCAACATATATATGTCTACTATGTGTCTGCAAATTTTCGTAAATTTTTTCCATGTAGTGTAATTATGGTGATTTTACTAGTAGCCTATGCTCGTACAGACAGTTTTGCTGGCAGATTGTTTTTGTTTTTTGAGACGTCACTTTAGACAATTATTGTGACCTAAAATGGCTCTATATTTTTATTTTATGAAGATTTGTATGTCTATTTTGATCTGTAAAATTTTGGTAGCAATTAAGCTTGTAAATTAATTATGATAAATTCTAAAGTAAGTGTAACTCATTGCTGAAATTCTGTTTGATAACTTTATGTTGGTTGTGATGTCTATTTAATTATGTCTAAAATATGAAGCAAATTTGTTTAGGTACATCCTTGAAAGAATATATGAATGAGTGTTTGCCCAAGTGGGAGAAATAGTGAAAGAAAATTGGGCTTCACACTCATTAACTTAATTGCAGTAAGTGTATAAACTCTAAAAGTTTAGTGGGAGTTGTTCTAAAGTTTTGAGCATTAAGTGAACTTGCAAAAAAATGTTATTCTATCTTCCATGAATATGTGTTTTGGTTGATGAAATTAGAATTATGACATGACTCGAATGACAATATAATATGTTTAAGTTGTAGAATGAGTACTTGGAAAGAATTTTGAGGCTCATGGGGACTTAGCACAAATATGGAATTATTAATGCAAATAAGATGGTTGTGGGATGCATGGTTTTGTATAAACAGCGATGAATGTCTTAGTTTTACCTTTCATTGAGATTATGCTATTTAAGGTGTTAAGGAAAAGAAAGACAATTTGTAGTGATATGCATTCACTGACTAAGTAAGGGTGTTCCCACAAGCATATTTCAAAAGTATGATTTAAGTTGTGATTTGCAAATTAAGTGACGATGTTGCAAATCAGTGGGAGCTTGAGTTTCATGTAATTAATGCCTTACATTTCCAGATGACCTATAAGGCATGTATGGTTGATTGAATCCATTTATTCAGTTTAATCTCCGGTTGGATTCATGTAGTCACATGTTTATGTGTTGGTCAATTATCAGATAACGATATATCTGATATCCAATAAAGCAAATTGCATTTTAAGTCATAAGGGAATGATTAATTCTTTTGGTTCGACTTAAAATGGCATGACATGATTTATATGTTGTATTAGTTGTGTGGGTTTTTTCATCTTGCTCATAAGTGTTGAAAATTTTCTCACGAAAGTAATTGATATGGTATATGAACCAGAGTCAAAAACATATTAATTCATCTTGCTCGTAGGTGTTGAATTAATTATGTTTTATGAAGTTTTGTTTGCAACTGCAGTAGAAGTTTGCATTAAAGAGGACTTGAGATGATAAAAGTTGAGACACATTCAAGTAATTAAAGTTCATCTCTGCAATCATAATTTGACGGTGTTTCATGTGTATGAGGATTTTAGCATGTGTGATTATGAAGGTTTTTGACACACCCCGACCGAGATCAGGGCGTGCTGGCCGTCACGTGAAGGTGACGTAGCCAAGTGCACAGTGCGGAAGCTAATAAAGTAGTAATGTAAAAGTACAAATAATTAAAAACTAGCATACATAAGGTCAAAGTAAGAAGTGCTAGCGTAAGTGAGACACAATTTTAGAGCAGAAACCCTAAGCAGTCCAAACTAAAATAGCGTTACAACAGTGCACCCAAAGGTGAACATACGCTGGTGATCGTCTATCAGAAATGCCGGGAAAGCCCTCTGGAAAACCACCAAACCAACTGAACAGCTAGAACCTGGAGGGGCGCAAAACAAAAGCGTGAGTGGGCAAAAACAAAGCTTTTCGAAAACCATTTCAAAACAATATTCTAACCCCTTGCCGTAAAACCTGTATACTTCCCAGAAAATAAACATATGCACGTATACATAGATATGCCAATCATGCTCAAGAATATGCCATATCAAATCTCACGACTAAATGTAAGTACTCAGGCATAAATCACATCAATAATATATAATCTGGCAGCTGGAGTCACCTAACGTGACCTGTACGGCTGCATCTAGAGCTCAA